TCCACCACTTTTAAAATTGCTCGCAGACTTTAATAGATCAGTAATCTATTAATCCAGCGAACAATATGACACTTTAGTTAAAGTGCTGGAATTTTGCACAAAAGTTTTTTTTTTATTAATTCAAGTAATACGTCAATAAATTAAGTATTAATAATGGTATTTGCATTCTCTCAGTTTGTTGTTCCTGAAAGAAGAAGCTACTATTATTTCACCACTATTTCACATAACGCATTGCCATTATGGACCCAGTGCCAATGAAGTGCATGGAATCAAACAATAATTAAAACATGTAAAGTAACCACAGTGATATAGCATTTAGTCATGGGCCGATGTGGTGGAATTTGCGTGCAAAAAGTGCGGCAACATCCCCACGCCGACCCTCTCCCCCCCTCCCTGCGGCAGCCCGGACTCTGCAGGTGCGCGGGGCGGTAATCTCACCCCGCTGCTTTAAAGTGATAAATGAACGCCGAAGCTCCGGAGCCGGTTTGTTCCCAGGGGCTCCGTGCGCCACGCAGGTGAATGGAGCAGCGCGGAGTGCAAGCTCTCTTGTTTGACGTCTCCATGGAGACCGCCCGAGCGGCGCCAGGCTGACAGGCGTCAAGGCTCGGATGAATGGGTGACGTCACCGCGCTGGCGCCTGCCAGTCTGCTCGGGCTTGTTTGGACAATCTGGGGGGAAGATTCGGAACAGAGCGATGCGATCTGAGTGCGCGCACGCACACACACACACACACACACACACACACACACACACGCACACGCGCGCGCACACGGCTGAGCACACACTGCAGAAGCATGTGAAGGAATCCGTGAAGCTGCTGCTCACACTGGGATTCCTTCAGCGCGGAGGAGAAGGAAAAGGAGACTTCTGTGCTGCGAGAAGAAGTTGCACTTTGTGAGCATAAAGGGAGCTTTGAGTTTAAAAAAAGCAGACACGTTGTCCCCGGGAAGAAGTGCTGTGGGAATGCGTGTGCATGAGTGTTATTTTCTCCTACAACCAGCAATTTGTCCTCAAATAAATTGAATAAGATGCTAACGTCTTTAGTGACTGCATTCCACAGTTATATAACTAAAGTGTGTTTCATCTGCACAAAGTTCATCATCCTGAACTAATTTTAGCTAACAAAAAAAGTGGCTCTTTTCCCATAATTGTTTGGCCCCTACAGGCCATCAATTGTCTTATTTGACTGTACCATTGTCATCCACATCTGCAGCAATTGTGAGAAGCAAATCTGGGGCACGGTGGTAGCCTAATTATCATTAGCCATTCATCCCATTCATCCTGCCCCCCCCCCCCCCACACACACACATTCTCACAGTGCATACTCAGGCATTCCCGGGCTATCTACACCTGCAGAGTCCCCAAGCCGTGGACAGCTGGATTCCCACATATTACCCATAAAAGACACACATTTGTTTCCATTTGTAACGCCATCCCTCAAACAGATTGTAAATCCCGATAACCAGGCGGGAGCCGCCATTGGCCGGCTGAGCTGTTGTGGACCGACGCAGCAATACAAACGCTGCCGCCTCATTGGCTGGCTGTCTTCAAACGGGGACAGGCCCGACACGCCCCCCTCCGACTATTTCCCCCTATATAGCCGCGGAGGTTTGCCCATGTGGATGTTGGAAACTGTCAACACAAGCTCACCAAGATCTCTCGAGAGGAGGAGAAGCCTCACCGCTCAACTACTCTATTCGCGTTCCCGATTTTTGGAAACTACACTTTCTAGGCTGATCATGAAGGTTGTCGGATCTACCTGCGCCCTGAAGAGCAAGGTCGGCGGAGAGGAAATGGTGCGCTGCCTTTCCGAGCAGAGCTTGAGCATCGCCAAGTGCAAGATTCCGCTGCTGGACGAGCAGATGAGCGCCTTCCTCCACGACATGAACAGCTGCTACAGCAAGCTGAAGGAGCTCGTGCCCACGCTGCCCACCAACAAGAAGGCCAGCAAAGTGGAGATCCTGCAGCACGTCATCGACTACATCTGGGACCTGCAGGTCGAGCTCGACGAGCCGGAGAAGAGCCGCCATCACTCCGCCGGCGGCGTCACGCGCACACCGCTGACCACCCTGAACGCGGAGATCGCAAGCATCGCAGTCGAGGTAAACATCACCGTCACATATTCTGCAGAATATAGCGCGGAGTGATTGAGGGTCACCGCTTAGTCAATGTTATTACGCGTGCGTAAAGATGCCCAGACCGTCCGTGCGTAAAAGTGGTTTCTGCGCACCGGTTTCATTCACATCCATGTGAAGCAGATGTACTAATCAACCTTTGTGTTTCCTTCCCCCTCCGCAGAACGGATGCTCAGATGACAGGATTATGTGCCGCTAAGAGCTCGTGGAGCATCGCACCATCAACCCAAATTGCGAGCACCGCGAAGAACGAACAAGGCTGTCTGATGTGACTTCTCGAACACATCTATTGCAAAATAAACCTTGAACAGTGTAGGGACGTGTCGAACTCCCAATGCTAGAAAAATGACGTTGTGTGGACGTCCTCCAGCGACGGGGAGCTCTGTCAATCAAGGCTCTCGATTCATCCGAGGGCCCTGGGAGGAGAAGGAGACGACCGGCGCTGTCCAGATATAGTCTGCGTTAGCCGGGGGACCGAGACATGTCCAGTGCAACCAGCCACGCTCGTTGCTTGTAGAGTTTCTAAAGAAAGCTAATGTTTCTGTAACGCTCTTTGTATCTTGTGTAAACCATATAGAGATGTTCAACATTTTGTGAAAGGAAAAAAAAGTAAATTTCTCAGATTGCTGAGCGACAAACTGTATTGTATATTACAATGCCACACTATGTGAAAATATTGTTTTCTTACAATGTACCTTAATTGTGTTTTTATTAAAACAAGACAAATATTTTTGAAAAAGAACTGACCCGTGTCCTTCAGTGTGTGTGTGTGTCGGAATAATATTAGGTTACGTATCACAACAAATACCAAGAGGAAAGAGTCCGTCCAGATTTCTTTGAGAGCACCAGAACCAGTGGTGAAACCTCGGGTGGTTGTTATGGCCTTATTGTCCCTATGATCCATAGCGGGCCTACACATATTCATCTGGAAGGCTTATCTCCATGCTGACTCGAGTACTAGGGGAGTGCAAAGTGGTTGTCCATGAAAAGTGCTCCACCTAGAAGAAGCTGTTCGGCCTTTAAGGCAACGTGAAACTAAAGCTGGAGGTCAACATAATGGCTGCTATCCAGTTCAATTGGTAATTTGCCTCTATGGGTCGTTACCGTATCACGTTACAGGAGGAAGTCGCGTGTTAAATCGTCACGTCCAAAGAGCTTGACAAATTGAGGCAGTTTGAAATTGGATTTAGTTTTAAATCAAATCAACCGTCACGACTCCACTCAATTCTACATTCAATTAAGGACAAATAATCAGATAACGACACCGACGGGCGGTTTATTTTCGCCAACTCGAGATGACGCGAAAAAAACCCATTAAAAGGTTTGTTTGACTCTACAAAACATCCATTTAAATATGGTGTTTCAATATGTTATCGTGTAAATCAGCAGTTCCAACCCCCCCCCCCCCCCCCTTCGTCCCCACAATCGTCCCTTCTTGGCACCGCAGAGGGTTAAAGCGGCTTTGGCGAGGCGATTCGTTATATAAGATTTATGCTGTCTCCCTGGTGCAATGTTTTTCCAATTTCCCTGCGGTGCGATGCGCACAGCTGCAGCTCCGCCGTGGCCAGTGTGTGATTGTGTTTGTGTGATAGCTTTGTGCCAAGGGCAGGGGAGGGCGGCGGGGCCCAGACTGAGCGGCGCCTCGGCACACCTGGGGAAGTTCAGGTTAAATAGCTCCACATTCCTCAACACACAGCTGATTGAAACATTAACAAACAGTAATCCGCGGGCCAGGCCGCAGATGGGCCGGGAACCACGCCACCGCTCGTTGGAGAGAGAGGGGGAGGGAGGGAGGGAGAGGGAGAGGGGGGAGGAGGGGGGGTTCTCTCGGGTAGAGATTCCCACAGTACAGTCGTATGTTCTAAATGTGCTATTCACATATGAACACCCCCCCCCCCTCTTGCCTCTTTGTCTATAGAACCATATTGCTTGAACCTTCAGCATATGCATTTTTTTAATCTATTACTTCACACATATTTCGCAGCTCTTTATTCTTAATCAATTAATAATTATCCACATAATCCCTTTTTTGTGTGTAACCTGGCCGAGCTGTGGAGGAAATAAAGCCCGGGCTATTGTGGTCACCGTAAAACTCCATATTGTCTTACCATTGAATCCATTTAGAACCGTGTCTTGGATTTTATATTCCTTTAATATTTAATTATCATTATTATTTGAATCCCTCGGGTCCCTTCCGGCGAATCTCTTGTAGTCAGGCGCCCTCGCGCGAGCACGACGTGAACCTCAGGATCAGAACCATCACACGCGTCTATGATCAGAACCCTCCGCGCGCGGCGGTGTGTGACGTTAGCGGACAGCAGCGCCCTCTGGCGGTAACCGAGAACATGCGTTAATGCGGTATTTCGTCTATTCTCTCGCTGCCGACATCAAATAGGACTTTTTTTGGTGACAGAGCTATATTGGCGTACTCTGCATTAATGGTCATCTATACACATACAATATATGTTTTATTTTTTATTATATTTCTCACAGCTGCTCTGCTGAAGTATCCGTTTGAGGTACTTATACATGCTACAAGTACTTGCTTATTCTTAGATAAGGGTTCTACATACATGCTTAAGCTATCAATCAATATTTCCGACAAGTTGGCAACAGTTCCACTGACTTTTTCTTCTTTCCATAATTCATGTTGGTGTACAACGTGACCTTTAGGGGAGGCTTGACCTTTGGGAATCTAGAAACTAACTGTATTGCAGAATGCTTCTTCCAGCACGTCTGTGCTTTCACTGTTTGTAGGATATTGCTTCCCAGTACTTTGGCCTTCGTCAGCACCCGGCAGCTGTGTTTAGTCACAGAGATTTTGTTTTGCACACAAGAAAGAAGACAATGATAGAACTCGAGACGAGGGATTTTAAATAGAAATTTGTATTTACATCAATATCAACAACAGAAAAAATCTGTAATATACATCCTGTAAAATGACAGCTTATTTTACCTCCAAACAAAGAAAACCAAAACCAAATGATCTCTTGCCTCTATTTTGCACTTCATTCAAACTCTATAAAGTTTTTTTGTTTTTTTTCATGAAGTAACAAAAAGCGGGACATAAAAGTTGCTTCCTGACAGTTAGAAGAGATACTGATATGTCTCGAAGTGGATTTCATTCCATTAGTAATTCTCTTTCAAGCAAATCATGCTGTGTTTATTTTTTGTTGTTTCGTCTCTGGATGTAAAAACGTCCTCCTGTGGGGGTGAGTTTCCCAGTCCTCTTTGCACCAACGGCGTCCCTCTGTGGACCGACTCAGCCCTGTGCTCCATAGGCCTCCCTAATCTTGCAGTACAAAACCATCAAATGTTTTTACAGATCTGGGATTTGTATCCATTTACCATCAGACTAATATAACACACATCGCTAAAAAATGTACACCAGAAACTATACAGAGATGTGGAAAAATATCTTTGGATTGCGCAGGTTGAAAAAGGTAGATTCAGCGAGTTTAGAATAACAGTCAACAGAAAACGATAAGAAAAATATAGTCAACAGACAGGGCTGGGCCGGGGGGGGGGTCAGGGGTCGAGCTTGTCGGTTCACTGCGGAGTTGGTGTCGCCGTCTTCACCGTACTGCGGACCGGACACAGCCCGCCTCAACCGCAGCCCCACAGAAACCACATCACCTTCCGACAAAACCTTCAACCCGTCAGGTACTCATCACAAGGAAAAGTGCCTCGCTAAAAACATGGAATACATGACTTTTTGGAAAACAAAAAGACACAAAATACAGCATTCTGAGAAAATGACAAATGAGGGAAGGAAACCCCAAACACGCCTGCAATATTTGCAAGGAGCAATAAACAAAAAAAAAAAAAGATGATGCAGCAAATTAACCAAATCAGTATTGACCTATGGGACACAAAAATACAACCAGGTCTCATACTTTGTGCAATAATGGGCCTTTAAAAAGCATGTTTGATATATTTTGTAGAATATTTACAATTCATATTCACAGAGGACATTTGAGACGTAATACTGCAGTACCATTTGTTTGCTCATAACAGGTGTTATGATGCTCAGTTACAGTCTAAAGCATAGAGGCAACACTTATTGCTCCGTTCTGCATAACATAGTAAACTGTGCTTATAGCTTCCGATGACTTCGAGAATGAGGCGCATCCAAAAGGAGAAGAAGAAGAAGAAAAAAAATAACCCATCGTTGTGAAGGCATTGAATCTCTAACATGGCTGTAATGATGAAGAAATATTGCATCGATCTTTGTTCCACACAGAAGCTACAAGGTAAAGTGCAGCCACAGCTAGTTGTACCATAGTCCGGTCCTGCAGCCCCGCCGCGCGGCTCCGGGTCGCTCACCCACACGCGCTGATATTTTGGGTTCGAGCGTGACCGTAACAGGGGGTACAGTATGCGAGGCGTCGGTTGTCCCTGTAGCCCGCTTCCTCCACGATGAGCCGCATGTCGTGCAGAGTCTCCTGCGTCACATTTAAAGCCGGAGAACTCCTACTTTGTGTGTTTACATGTCTGTGTGTGTGTGTGTGTGTGTGAGTAGGTCCAGTTCTTCGCAGGGTTCCGACACAGTCAAAAGGCTCCAGATTCTGTTATTAGCCACATGGTTTTCAGCAATACTTCTGCAGAGAAAGAGTGGGTGAGTGTGCAAACTCCAAAGGTTGAAAGGATAGATTTGTTTCTTTTCAATATCTATCACATCTCAACGGTGTTTAAAAACATGAGCTGACCCCCTCGTGGGCTCACGTAACTCCTGTGACAATGTGTTACCCACCTGATCGGGCCCCATAGGCATTCTGCCCATTGCCATGGGGTTCATGCCTAATTGGCCCTGCATCTGGCCTTGCATCTGGCCCTGCATCTGGCCCTGCATCTGGTGGCCCTGCATCTGGCCCTGCCTCTGTCCTGGCAGTTGGGCCATCTGACCCCCACCAGGAGCCCCGCTGACGGGCCCGGGTCCACCCATAGAGTTGTTCATCATCATGGGGCCAAACTGACCCTGGTTGCCCTGCTGGGGAAACTGTTGCTGGGGATATGTGCTGGAAAAAAAACAACATAAAAGAAAGTAATTAGCCTTTGCAGCTTGTGTAATTTCGCACAAGCAAATGACTGTGCTAAAATGATCATGCTTAGCTAGAAGCACTAGATTAGCTAGCAGTAAATAGTTTAGTTTGAGGAAGCCTGACGCTACATACTTGCCGCGTGGCATGCCGCCCTGTGGCCAGCCTTTCATGTCTCCAGACTGGTACATCGGCCCCCCCTGTGGATTGCCCTGCATCCCTGGCATCATGGTGGTCTGTGATGGAACGCCCATTCGTGCCTGCATCATGTTTCCTGGCGGGCTGCTAACCGGAGCCATGAATGATGGGTCCCCCTGCTGGTTCATCCCTGCTAAAAAGACAATAGAACAGAGAGTCACGAGTGGGAACCTTGAATATCGGGGAGGAAGTTATGGAGAGCTCTGTCTCAGTCAACTCACCATAGTTACCTCCATAGCTGAAGCCCTGCTGTCCAGGCTGGTTCATGGGAGGGCCTCCGATGGAGGCGTCCATGCCTCCTGGGGCTGTGACATTTGGAGGAGGGCTGAAGCCCCTTGCTGCTGCAGCAGCTGCTGCTGCTGCCCCCTGGCCCTGCTGCTGCTGCTGCTGTTGTTGCTGCTGCTGCATCATCATCATCATCCGCTGCCTTCTCATCTGCATGGTCATCATCTCCCTGCTGCGCTGAGCAATCATCTGAGCGTTGAGGAAACCAGGCTACAGACAAACATCCATACTTTAACCACAATCCTACAAATGATGAACTGGCTGAAAAAAAGGTATATGTACACTATATTAAAGGCGCTGATCACGTACCTGACCACCCATGCCTGCAGCCTGCATGCCGGGCTGCATGCCAGGTTGCATCCCAGCTTGCATGCCGGGTTGCATGCCGGGTTGCATGCCGGGTTGCATGCCGGCCTGCATGCCGGGTTGCATGCCGGGCTGCATGCCGGCCTGCATGCCGGGCTGCATGCCGGCCTGCATGCCGGGCTGCATGCCGGGCTGCATGCCGGGCTGCATGCCGGGCTGCATGCCGGGTTGCATTGCAGGGTTTCCCCCGGGTGCATGTTCCATCTTCATGCCTTGTCGGGTCTGGTTCATAAACTGTCAGATAGGACCAGATGAATGCGTTAAATATCCATCCAGATCGACCCTCTCAGTCGTTAATATAACCACATGAATATCTGGGTCGTTGTAATCACCTGTTGTCCTTGCAGTCTCTGCTGCAGCTGCAGCCGGAGAGGCTTGGTGGCACTCATCATGCGAGGTCGCATCATGTTTGCACGGGGGTTACCCATGCCCCCCATCCCGGCCATGCCAGGAAAGCCCGCCGCCTGGCCCGCTTGATTCATCATGGGGTTGAAGCCTCCAGGAGACTGGCCTTGCATTGTGTTGCCACCATAACCCGGCTGCATGCCAATAGAGGAAGGCCCCGGGGGCCCAGGGTAACCTTGGTTATACCCAGGTTTTTGGTCCATGCCTATCGAGGAGTCGGACCCCGTGAAAGGCTCTGATGGTGGGCAGCGGCCCTGGCTTCGATCCGGGCCCTGCTGGTGGCCTTCGGGTCCGTGGTTCTAGGATACACAGAAGTTGCCTTGTCATGCTAGTTTGGGCGAGTAAACTTATACTGCAATATCAACACAAAGCAGGATGAGGGTTTTAAAGTACAAGCTTAAAAACAACTATTCAACAATCATATCAAAAAACATTAGCAGGGAGAATGATAAGAAGTTGTCTTCAACTCAATGTGCATGTAAATATAGACAGCAGCAATCAGTTCACTTTGTGTTGAATGGTGACTACAAACATGCATGTTAAAAAAATAAATGAATTGCAATATAATTTACATTAAAAGGCAATTTCCAGATTTCAATGGTTTCCTTAATCACATTATGAATAAAAAATACTTTTCGAAAGAAGACGTGAATTTGGGATCATGTCCCATTAGTGCCAGTACTGGTAATATGTTAGTATTTCCTATATATAATGAGTACATTCAATTTGTTTTGTTTAATGCAGTGAGTGCTGTACCTGGCCTACTATTTCAGGGATGCCAAGGGCTCGGTCTATCTCCTGCAGAGCAATGACATCAGTGGTATTGAGCAGAGAATCCAGCTGATCAAGGAGAGCCCGTTCATCGCTCGGGCCCTCGCTGTGGCCCCGGGGCCCCAGCAGCTCCTCCAGAGGGTGCCCGAACTGGTCCCTAACAAAACAAATGACCGGGAAAACGTTAAATCCCTTCAAGGACATGCGACTTCAATCACAAAAACCTTAACAACAGCTTCTGGATTTAGCTTAGGGACAACGCAAATCTACGGGATCTACTGGATGCTTTGAGGTTAGGTTTGCATATATAGAGCCAATCAGGGGATTGGAGGCTCCAGGACACCGATTTCATCTCGTTGCCACAGTAACCGGGGGGGCATATAGGTGAAGCCCCGGCGGTTTCAGGGTATCCTTGGTTATACGTGAGTTGATCTTCTGTGAGGTTTTTATCTTCACCAAAACACCCAAACTATCCCTTTAAAGTCCAAGTTGGCAAAAATTCTGAGAGATACATTTGGGAGCAGGACAAAGAGGATCACCTGTTTGATTTAGCCTTTGGCCTGTCCAGTCCCATAGCAGAGTCTGGCCAGGACGGAGACCGAGGTGGAGGCCCCTGTCCACCAAACGGGCTCATGCCCATATTGGCTTCATTGGTACCTGCAGAGATGAAAATCAGCAGTGTATTAAAAGCATGAAGGGGATACAATGAGTCCAAATTATCCCCCAGTCAACTCCCAGAGAATCTTTGCCATTTACAAGCACAACACGTTTCAGTTTCTAACAGCACAGGAGACATACCCATATCCATGAGTTGCTGCTGCAGCATAGACCTGGTTTTCCCAGGCACACTGTTGGACCGGTTGATCATGGGTCCTCCCATTGGACCAGAGCGACCCATACCCGGGTGTACTTGTCCGGCCACGGGGCTGCCGCCGGACCTCGGCATCCCCCAGTCCGGTGGCGCCGACATGGGAGGCCGCTGAGGCATTCCCATCCCTCTGCCCATTCCTCCTGATCACACACACCATGAACAAAGTGAACACTGGACCCTCAAATGTAAGCGATTCCCCCACTGTCTAGTCTTTGGGAAGAAAGACAAAGCAAGGATAAGAAACACGTTTTCGACGTACTTGTTGGGTGGCCCCGTGGTGAACCCACAGCCGTGCCCCCTGGAAAGCCATTGGGAAAGGGCCCCGGTCGAATCGGAGCTTCCATCTTCTCTTGTTTGACCAACGTGGGACAGGGGACATTTCGTCTCCCGGCCAGCCCTCCTCCACCTCCTCCCTCTCCACCCGCGGGTGGCTTGGCATCCATGGACAAGGCTCTTTGATAGGGGGCCCGCTGAGCTGGAGGCACGGGGCCTCTCTCCCCATCTGAAATGCACACAGTACCAACACTGGATTAAATATCGTCACACGTTGAGGTTCTCACAACTGCCCCAGATGAGGCAACGTCTACAGTGCGGTAACTCATGCAAGCCGTAAAAACGAAGATCCAATATGTCTCAATTCATTTTTTCACAGTAGTAGATGGACTTACCGCGTAAATTGTCGGGCCCGTTTCCCTGTTTGTTCCCCGCGTCCTTCCCTGCTCTGGAGTCCGGCTCCGGGTAGAAGCCGGGGTTGTTCCTTGGGACACCCAAAATGGTCTCCAGGGTTTCCGCCTGAATCATCGAGACACAAGAATATGAGACAACCCCGTTCTGATGAGCCCGTCAAACTACATCTAACAAACGTTTCTTCAAGGCAAAAGCCGTACCTCATCTGACGGCTCCATCTTGACCTTCCCATCCATGCAGTGGGGGTCAGAGCTGGTGACCCCCGCCCCTTGAGCTCCTCTCCCCTCCAGCTCCTCCTGCTTCGGCTTGACGTCAGCGCTTTCCTTAGAGTCGTCCTTATTCAGGAGGTAGTGAAGGAGAGCGTGGGGTTTCTCCTTCTTCGGGCTCTGCTCCTCCTGCTTTGATTCGGATCCCCTGACCGCTCCGGCTGCTGCGGGCCCGGGCTCCGGGGCCCCCGGATCCAGGCTGCTCTTTCCGGTGGCCTCGGCTGTGATGCGAGCCACCTCGTCGGGAGTGTTCCCGTTCTGCAGAAGCTTGTGTAGGATCTTGTGCTTCTCCTGCAGCGACTGACTCGTCAAAGGCCCTGTGCCGCCTGAGGAAGACACGGCGCCCGTAGAGGAGGACACTCCTGTGGAGGAGGAGGGGCTGGTGACCCCGGCCGTTCCGTCTTTAGCCTCCGGTGTGGAGCCGGGTGGGTGATTAGGCGGCACCAGCTCATCTGTTGGGGAGATGAGGAGCTGCAGAAGCTTCTTGTGGGACTTGGTGTCAGCGACCCGTCGGTTGGATTCACCCCCGGCCGGACCCGCCTCTCTGCCGGCCTGGCTGTCTGGCTTGTCAGGCGGGCCCTCGCTGGTGGGGGTGCGTGGATTCTGCTGTGACTGCGGCTCTCCTCCCCCTGCCAGCGAGCTGCCTGGACTCTTGGAGTCAGCGTAGGCCGGGAGGCTTGGTTTACACGGCCCCCCCGCTGCCTGGTTGGTGGAGTTGATGCTCGGGGAGCTGTCCGGCTTGTGAGCGGGCGGAGACGTGAGGGGGGAGGGCATCGGATTGCCCACTCCCTCACTAATGGCCTGCAGGGCGTTCAAGGAGCTGCTGGAGAAGGTGGTCCCTCCTCCAGAGTTACCAGGGTGGCCGGAGCCCATGGGAGAGTTCATACCTGCAGAAAGACAAACGGATACATCTCATCTCACCAATGTGTCACACAATGTGAGGGCTGGGATTTTCCACAGAACTAATTCAGAGTAGTTCCTGAGAAATGTTTGCTTCATACCTCCGGGAGAAAAGGGGCTGGCACCCATCTTGGGGCTTCCTCGGACTCTGGGGGAGCCCATGACGTTGTGCGGGGGGCCATTTATACCGGGACTAGCCAGTGGGGGGCTGGTCATTCCCATTCCGTACCCACCTCCTCCGGGTCCGCCTCCACCTCCGTGGAACTGACCCATCTGCTGATGTTGGTGCTGATGTTGGTGCGGATGCTGCTGCTGCTGATGCATACCATGGTGGCCCATCTGATTCATTTGCCCCATTTGGTTCATGGGGGAGCTCATTGGATGCATGGAACCCATTGGATTCATCTGATTCATTTGGCCCATGCTGTTCATCTGATGCATGGGGTTCATTTGATTCATCTGATGCATGGGATTCATGTGGTTCATGGGATTCATGCGGTTGGCCCCAGCGTACGGAGGCACTCCGCGTTGTGGCATGTTGCCGTGCTCAGCCATGCCGTAGCCCCTGTTCATGGTCATGCCCCCCCCTGGTCCCATGTTCATCGGCTGGTTGGGGTTGTTCACAGCCATGTTTTGAGGCCTCATGCTTCCAACCTGGTTTCCGCGATAACTATTCTGCTCCCTATAAGGGAATGCGGCAGATGACAGGAAAGGAAAACGGAACAAAGTTGAAGCACATATAAACACACTGAGACAATCATTCAAATTAGGAGACAGTTAGTTTCATTTGTTATTATGTGCACCTTTGGAGCAAGTGTGTGGAGAGGAAAGAGTGGGGTTCATTGGTGTTGGGATTTCTGCAGAGGTCGCTTCTGGTCTGCGCTGTGACGGGGGTGCCATCCCCGAGTGAGAAGCGGTAGAGTGGGGTTTCCGCATGGCCATTGTGGAAAGCTAGAGCAGAAAGAAGTCAAATTACAAACTCCCAAAACAAGGCTAGGCACGCGCAACATAAAGAAGAACCAACGGTTAGAAATAGATGTGGCAGGTTGTGGCAAGAACTGGAGCTGAATTTCAATACGGTTGATTAATGCCTGCTGGGAATAGTCAGAAACTGCGACTTGGTGGTTTACTCCACACACCACAATGCTGTGGCTCCACCTTTGTTGGTAACAAATAAAAAGCTGACATGACGCCTCGGGTGATCACAGTCTGAGTGTAAGTGTCTTACAAATTTAGTAATGTTTGCTGTTGTACTGGACCAAAAAGGTCTTAACCGCCTTTGCCGGTGCAACCTGCTCGACAATGCTCAAGGCCGCCTGATGCCTTTGTTAACAGCCCGTACCATCGCCGATCGTCATTACAAATGCAAAAGTGGTTGTCGTCAAGGGAGGTTTAAAGTTCTGTACCATCTTGATAGTGGCGTTTGTAGGACCACGGTTGTCCCTCACTTCGATGGAGGAACATCTGCATGCAGCGCCTCACCAGGTCCTCCCAGCCAGGACGCATAGTGGTGCTAAGGGAGGTCTGCTGCTCGATCTCAATCAGCTTACCTGCGACAGAAGAGAACCATTGGGATTACACAACGGGTAGTGGATGGAGAACTTTCTCCATTTCCAATGGTAGTTACACATGTTTAGAAAATGAATACACTGTGGGAATGTGTGTGCACACAGTGGAATCTCACCAGACAGTTCATGTCGGGTGCTGAACCTCTCTGTCCTCTCTACTGCAATGATACGTCGTGCCACGCAGATCATACATGACTGCAGATCTAAAAGCAAAGAGATCAGGCAAATGTTAAGTCCCTGTTTGACTCCGCTGAGGGACGAATGGGACATGGACAATGTTACCTTCTCCCTCCTCCATCATGGCCCGGGGCTGAGTGAGGGCAAAACACTGCATGGTCTCATAGCGATGGCCCCCGGGCCTCTCTTCTGACAACCCATGACCCGGACCATGAACGAAGTTCACCAGCATTCGACAGTTGAAGGTGTGGCTCTTCTGCCGCGGGGCCTCTCCAGCCCACGATGCCCCGTTTGGTGCTATTTAGAGAAACAGACCACATTTGAACCCACCTTCAAATAGTTGACGGGATTTGAACGAGAGAGCGCGCGAGGGACTGTGTTTGAGCGTACCTGACGGCGTGTGATGGTGAATGCCCCCCCCCCACACACACACATATGTGTCACACATATGACTCACCGTTAGACTTGGGGAGATTCTTGTGGAACTCCTCCCGGTCCTCGTCGTGGATGATGTTGTACACGCTGGTGTTGATCAGCTCCTCTTGCTTGTACTGCAGGTACTGCGTCACGTTGTCCGACACAAACACGATGCTGCCCTCCCGGTTGACGACGAAAAGGAAGCCATCCAGGGCCTAGAGACCGTAGCAGTGAAAGGGCGAGTCAAAATGAAGTCGTATCAGACAAAATAATATTAGATGTGCTTTTTGGATCACTTCAATAAACCAGCCGAGACATTTTAACTTCGACTGCAAATGAGCAATGACAGATAAGCACTGGTCCAACATACGGAGGTGCAGCTTATAAGTTAATTGCCCAAGCTGACCTGTAGGAGCAGCGGCCCCAGATGGTCCTTGTCGATGACCCCTTGACCAGTGGAAGACACGTCTGCCTTCTGGACATCGTCATCACTGCAAGAGCTCTTTCCTGAGGGCAGATGAAGCACATCACACTTTTTACAGCAGCTGTCTGTGTCTTCATTTGCTTCATCTGGTACCTCACGCATCTCGCGTAGAACAGCAGCTGTTTAGAAGACCTTCATTTTGAGAAGTGCACATGTAAAAGATGTCGTTTTATAGCACATCCTGATCACACCACCGATCAGAAATCACAGCAATGGTTTCCAGTCAGCTGTGGAAGCTGCTTCCGTAATACTAAGATTTATCCAGGCCAGCAGGTGGCAGCGTGAGTCCCGGATGAATGACTAGCATGCCTTTCTATATTTAAAATCAGCATGTGTCGGAGGCTTTGTTAGATACTACTCCATACAGCAGAACCATGTGTGGCTCGAGACGACAAATAACACTCCACCGGATTTAATGGTGACGAATTGACAAGCTGGAAAGATCTCACGTGGTTTGCAGTTTAGAAAACAATGAAACTCACCTCCACCTGTTTTTTTTGGTCAGAACGTCTGATACGTTTAAGGAAAATTTGCAGCTGTAAACACACACATATTGATTGAGCGATCTGGATGTAGAAATGACATTGGGGCTGCTGCTCAGGCAGACTCCTCACAGGGTGAAATCACCTGCAGTGGTCGCCATGTTAATTCACTAAATACCAAGAAAGTTCCTCAGTGATTCATGATGATTTATTTTGTTGATTGTCAAGTGTGACAGCAGCAGGAAGGAAGGAGCTCTGGTTTCTTTTCTTTGGACACCGTGAGTGAAGCAGCCCGTCACATAAGAGGCGCTTTAAATAGCCTGCGTGCAGCAGAATAATAGACAGCATGGGTTCCCGTTTGAGTTGATCTTGATTGATTTGGTCGACCTTCTTCATTGGCAGACCTTCATCGGCGATGTCCACCGCAGCATTATAATTACGTTGTTTGGTGAAAGTGGACTTTGACCACCACGATTGTCTTTTCCTAATCCCCTATAAGCTTTCCCTCGCGTCCAAATAGTTGAGTTGTATAACCCCAACAAAGCAGATTCGTTGTCTAAACCTTCTTCGACCTGCGTGAATGAGGTGAATTTGCGTCGCCCGCTTTCAATCCCAGTGTCGCATTACAGTCCGATCTATTGAAGAAACAATCTACCACACAAAACCATCCAACGGCAACCAAGTCGTCTCCGCGCCGCTGCAGACAAGAGGTTGCTAACGTTACTGTCATCAACCACTGTACATCATGACAGTCCATTTTCCAAAAATGAAATATTTTGATCTTGAATAGATTTGAAAAGAGGAAGAGTGTTTGTGAAATCACAAGCTGACAGTGTGTATTCATTACGGTTTGGCTAATTTATTTTGCCAAATTTGATGATGATCTCCTTTCATAACACGGCCGTCAATTGGTCAACTGGAAATTACATTTATTATTTGTGGATTTGTAATATTTAAATCAAGAAAAAGGTAGCTCCAAAAGCTCTGCTCAATCAGCTTCAGCCCCACGATCACCTACAACGGTGTAGAATATGATGATGATTGGATATCGGGAATAGAGTTAAAGTCAGGAATTGGGTTTTGGTTTACAAGCCGTACTAATGAGGCCACTACCCACTTTAACTTTCTAGACGTTTTCATGACGGTCAGGGTGCTGGTTTCCTGATTCAAAGAGCGAGGATGTATAAACACAGAGTTAAAAGGTGTTTCAAGTGGACAATAGACAGAAAATAGAAGAAAAAAAAAAACAGAGGCCTTCCATCATTGCCATCTGGTAACCATGGCAACCTAGCGACATAACACGGGGACCAGCGGTATCCAGCTGTGACCCTGTGGGTAGATTTCAATATAATTGGTCTCTCTCTTTCTTCCTTACCCACTTAACCTCACAAATTGACTCTGACGATCTAAAACCGAAGGAAATCTATATGTGCATTTGGTGCATCCAATCATGTAAAATCTGTAAAGCAATTGGAAAATTACCGGAAGATGGGAGCCATAAACGGCCTGATTTCTGAGTCACACAGAGAGAAGCTCGGTGTGGCATTGACAGACACACGGCGTCGCCGACAGCCTTGAGCTGCGACCACCGAGGACCGGCCTCAATCACTGGTGCTCGTCTTCCCCCGGCGATACAGACAGCCAAGCCGACTGTCAGCGCGAAGCAGCCTGGCCATGAACCCAACACGCCGCTTCATCACTAGGGTTGGTAAGGACATTTTTTACACCGTTTTGATGTCTCCGTCCTGTGGTGGGTAAACTAAATGTGTGAGGATAGTTGCATCATCAACTGCTGAATTTACGTTTTATTAGGATGCAAGTGGGAAGGCTGGCTTGCTACATGCATCATCATATTTGAAAGCACGTTATTGATAGTGTTGTCTTAAAGAGATGTTGCGCGAACCAAAACTACGTTTAAAAACGTGGATCTCCTGCAGTTTTACTTTTTTACCTGAGAATAATACAGCGATTACAGCGTTTGTATGTTCAACAACATGAAACCTGGTCTTAAGTATTTCAAAATTACACCAATTTTATTTTGGATTGTTCCAACAACAGAATGCAAGGCGCAGGGAACTTTGAGGTGCGTAAACACTATTTAGAGTTGCGTAAAAGGCGTTAACGTGCGTTTAGCCTCCATGGCAGCCTACAGATTGTAAAGCAACAGTCGCTAGCTAGTAGAAAACGCCAAAAGGTAACTGTTCAAAAGTGTGGCTGTATTTCATACAAAAACAAACGCAACGTGCAGCAAATTCAACAATACAATTGCGCGTAAAGGGGGGGGGACACATCCAACCTCATGGCCAAACATCTATAATTTTAAAAGTATCGGTTTAGCACCGATTTAGGTATATAAAAAAACAAATGACACCCGTCGCTATTCATCACAGGCACACCCGTCCAGCCGCAGGGATTTTGTCTAAAGTAGTTCACCATTTACGCACAATAACAATAATAAATAATAATAACCTTGCTCTTTGATCTGTCGGATCTGCCTCACGGTCTCCTTGAGGATGGCACATTTGTCCGGCTTGACGTTGAAGCTGTCGATGTTGGAGAGGTTGGCAGAGATGAGCTCAGCCAGCTCCTCGATGTACTTGCTCTCCTGTTCCCTCCGACGCTTGTCACACCTGCCGGGAGCGCCAAGGGGATTAGACGTGTTGCCATGACAACCTCACCTCGCCACGCCCCGTCCGTGCGGCCATGGGTTCAGGCTGGCAGTCACACCAAAAAAAGCAGCGCACAAAGTGGATCGTTCAGGGGGTCACAGAGCGCTCACCCTAAGCCCGGCGTGTCGCAGGTGGACAGTTTACGCTTGCGGTCGGCGCACAGCGGCTCCAACAGGTTGTCTCCTACGCCGCTCATCTTCAGCGCATATCAGCACCTGAAAGCACAAAGCTGCATATTACACATAGATGTAAACACACATATATAGGCGGTGAGTGAACGGAGAGTGGTTTTATATGCTCATACAGTGTTTCCCCCTAGGTTTACGGCTCAGGGGGTGACCCCCCCCCCCCACCCCCCTCTCATAATGGTAAGAGAAACCCTTTCGTATGTGTGGAATGGAATCTAATCAGAGTATACGCTGTGGATTGGAATTTGTCTTCAGCTGTCGGTTCTCGGTAAAGTTCACTCTAAAATGACGTCAAATTCAGGTAAACCTCAAAAGCTAGGCAGCCTGGATGGAACCGAGGAAAGAATAAAAAGAAGCTGTTGAGGTTATGAGTGAAGTGATTCTTCCAGGGAAAGAGTAGATTGAGGATTCGCACAGATTTATGAGGGAAGACCATCCAGTTAGCAAAGCAGCCGTGGTTCCTGCTTACTGCTCGATGGGAGTGAGATCTCATCTGTTCCACTGCGAGGAGCGACTGATGATGATGTAGTGATCTGGAGCCTCGGGGGAGACGGGTCATCCTGCGTTCAGCCAGCCTGCCTGCTAGAACAATACCACTCGGCTAGCAGCAGCACTCGCACACACTGTGTGCACACAAGCCGCTTCCAGCACGCTCGCTTGTACAGACATGTCTGTGTTTAGCTGCCGTCCCAGCAAGGCACACGTTCCCCAGCCTGCCTCTTTGTCTAAATGCTTGGGACGGGAGGGGGGGGGGGGGTTAGAGGGGTAGCGATACACACAGTGCTTGGGAGGCCGGAGACAGTCCAGGCGAGGCTCCACATTTCGGGGACAAGTTAAAATGATCCCTACTTCCCCATTCTCCGTACTAGGCTACATCCGTTCTTTCTTTCAATAACTTTTGCCCCCCCCCTATACCATTCCTAAGGACAACCCCTCCCCCTCGGTTCCTTCCCCTCCCTGGGTGTAGCAGCGCCGGGCTGTGGACCCTGCCCTTGTTTTCTTGCTCTGGCACCGCCCTGCGTCTGACCCGCTCCAGAGTTCACGTTAGAAGAAAACCTCTGCAGCCCAGGGGCTCTGCTCTTTTCATATTGCTCCCCACAGACACACACACACACACTCACACACACACACACACACACACACACACACACACACACACACACACACACACACACACACACACACACACACACACACACACACACACACACACAGAAAGCTGCGGCTGCACTGCCAGATAGTCCTCTATAACTCTATCCTGGACTCTGCTGCATGCTTGTGCGTGCGCACACACAAGCGCTCCTACAAAAAGCCGGCAGTGAGCTCATTCCACAGTGGAAAACTATAGAACGGATGGGGGCCATTACGCAACCTCGGCTCCGCAAACGGCATGCTGGGACACGGAGCCCGGTCACCCCACCACCGCGGAGCGAGTCGCAGACGCGCACACTCCGCGCCGTGGATCTGCACCGCATGCTTCCCGTCGGTCCACCTTTCGGCACCCGTGTGTCGATCTGGCCGTCCTGCGTCGCCTTTGACTCTCACTGAACTTCCCTTCTCTTCCTTCCTCGGTAGTTTCTGTCCTGAGGTTCACCTCTGCAGCGGCGGAGAAAGATGACATCAGCCCTCCGTGGCCTTCACATCCTGAGCGGGGTGCGCTCCTGGGGGCCCTTCTGAGAGCGGGCCGCGGCGAGCGGCGTGCTTTCTACTTTGGCCGTGGGAGTGAAAAGAAAATTTTGCTTCATCGGCTTCGCTCTCGCAGGGTATTAAAAACACACTAAGCGAGTTACTGTGCATTTCATAACGGCCCGTCTCATTCGTTCACCCGAGTTGACGTTTTGTGCGTCCAAAAGGTTTGATGCGACTGAAATCCGAGAAGTGACACGCATCCCACTTCCAGCGAGGCAGCGGCCCACCAAAACCACAGTCCCACCGGGCCCGCCAGCGCGCCGCTGACCTGGAACAGCCCCACGCGACCGCGGGAAACTACAGGGACACCACGAGGGGCGGCAAAACAGCTGCCGACCTGCGGGATGCAACCTCACGTGGTCCAAAAAAAATTAAAACCGGGTCTGAATCAGGTGTGCGGGTGTTTATCTCCCACCTGCTCACCTTGACCAGTGGAGATCCCTTCAGGGCCTACTGCCGCACCTCTCAACATCTACTGAAAATAGACCGTCAACTGGGTCGCCGACGTGACTCTTCGATGGCAGTGCTCCCTGTGAAAATAGCAGGGGGCTTTTTATAGGGTTAGCGTTCATAGAAATTCATGGGAAAAAGAACAACAACAACAACAACAACTGGTTTCTTAAATGGCACAGGAAGCCACGGCAGACGGCATCCTGTTTGCGTCGTCCCCTGAGCACGCCGCCCTGCGTCATCACTTCCCTTTCCTGGAAATGTGCCCACTCGTCCACTCGATTTACATGCTGTGTGTGTCGGGTGGGACCCCCCACCCCCGCCCCCCCCAACTGTCCCTGGTTCCTGCTCACACCTGACCGCTGCGTGGTCGTCCCAAGCTCAGCCTCACAAAAACTATTGTACAATTTGGATTCAATGCGTCTGGGTGAAATGCCTTCTCCTCGCCGTGCACATGGTTGTTGCCGCGCCGTTATTTGGGCTAACCAACAAGTCCTCCCCTTTCACAACTCGCTTTTTATTAAATATATATATATATTTATAGAACCGCTCTGTCGAAGCCGTCACAACCGTCGATACCCCATTCTGGGCCGTTGCAGCGGTTTAATAAGCTTTTCCTCAGAGGAACAGAGAGGAATCCCTCTTGAGCCGAAGTCAGTGACAAGTCTGCAATTGAAAAATACACGCTAAAATAACATTACTCAAATCATCTATCGTACTCAAAAATAACATTTAAAAAAGCAATTTCAAGCATCATTCTCACGTCAAGGGATCCATTGTGCTTTTTTGTGGAATTTGTCTACTTTTGTGTTGTTTTTAGTGTGTTTGGCTGATGTGCATTAGCTTGAGGACGGTTGAATCTGGCACGGTGCAGCAAAAAGGGACACCTTCATGTTCTAAACTGTAGTGCGACGTTTGAAACACAATTCGAATGAATACGTTTCACAAAACCGCGAGGGCCTGACCTTCAGTGTTGGGGAACAAACTGCTCCCAAAATCAGCGACCTTTAGCACCATCATCCTACTGCCAAAGATAAGCAGATGTCCTTTCCTTCATGAAATCTAATAATAACAATGCCACTGCGCTAAAAACTAAATATCCACCGTGAAGAGCAGCATGTGACTCTGAGAAGAAGAAGGAAACTCCAATACATAAAAAATAAAACCTTAATTTAAGAAAGAAAAAAGACTTGTTTCAATGTTTCAGATCCTGTCACAGTGCTTGCTGAGAGGTTTGGTCTTGATAGTCGCAATTGGCAGAGAACCACACAACGAGCAGTTGCGAGGCCTGCAGCCTACTATACCCACACAGTGTGTGTGTGTGTGTGTGTGTGAGATCCTCGACCACAGACCACTGATCACATCAGCCCCAAACGCAGCGCTGCTACGGAGCTTAATGCTGCAGCTGAATAATTTAACGCAGAGAAAGAGAGAAGAGCGTTTCCCTTTCTATCGGCTGTCCAAACACAGTTTAAGGATTCGGAGTCGACTCCTCCCAACAAGACAACACAGGAACTAGTGAGAGAGTGACGCACGAGCAACCCGGAGGACTTGTTTTCGTTTTGTTGTCTTCCGCGCGCGCCGTCACTGTTAACTGTCCATCACCTCGGTAATCTGTACAAACTCACAGCACACTACGCACGCACCAGTGACTCCTGGTGCCGAAATCTAATTCAAACCAGAGGAGCACAAGCCCTGGTATGAATATGGCCGCAGCAGGGGGAGGAGGGGGAGGAGCCCGGGCAGATTGAGAAGAATAAAGAGGGGGGAGGAGGCAGAGAGAAGCGGGAGGGGGAGGGGAGGAGAGAGGAGACACGGCGCACCGACAGAAATAGTGCCGGGCATCCGCTCGAAAAGAAGAAAATAAAATGGAGATACTGGTGGCCTCCTGGAACCGATCCTCAACTTAAACGTGTTCACTACTTGTGGGTAAAAGAAAGAACACAAACACATCACGTACTGCTCTAAAGAGAAGAGAGATGCCCATAAAACCGTAAAGTCAGACCGCAAGGGATAAAAATGTCAAAGAGGCAGTAGAACGGAGCTGAGCAGCGAGGGCGCGTGGCGAGCAAAGCAGCAACTCAACTTTTTTTTTTTTTTTTTTACTGCTGATGAAATCGGATTTATTATTTTTATTAAAGCGTGCAAAGTTTCACCAGCAAGGTGAGCCTTTTGCAATGTCAGTTCTCCGAGCAGTGATGGGCAGAGGAGGCCGTCTGTGAGCCTCTCCAGACTCCTGCATTGAGAAGTGGAGATGGAGGGGGGGGGGCACCTTCTGCTCAGAAGGGTTGAGAGCAGCAGGAAAGAATACTGCAGCAGGATAATCCAATAGGTATAAATGATCTTGTTTATAACACAATCTGCGCTGGAAGACCTTTTTCCTCACATCTTCATCAAAAATATCCGGTCACATTGCAAACACCAGCGTGTAACACAACAAGACAAGGACAAAAACAACTTCACCTTTCTATATGTACCAAACATGTTTCCAAGTTGCAACAAGTGTCATCCATGTTGAAAAAGAAACGGGCTCCACGCGCTATATTTATTGAAGGGTTTCCATTTTTAACTGTCCTCTCCACAGCGTCCCAGTAGCCTGCAGACGTTGTCTCGGGCATCCCGTGGAATTGTGCTTTGCAGCATCTGGCTCCAGTCGATGGTTTATTGTTGGGGCACAACTTTCAGATCTTGAAGCTTAGCTTCTGTCGCTTTTTCTAACAAAAGCCTTCGTCACATATGATGTGTTCCAAGGACTGTTGGAAAGATGCACGTCCTACAGTGATGATGACGACGTTCTTTGCAGCTTCTGGTTACGATATACGCTTTAGTTTGGACTATTGTTTAAAGAAAGCATGCTTCTCCATGGCGTCGGTGGGTTTTGGGGGTTT